TAGGCGGTGATGATCCGCCTGGCGTTCCAATGACCCGCGATCCCCAGAGCACTGGATCTGCCCCTATTTCACACACATAAACAAGCAGTTTGAGTTAATTTGTGGGAACACAAACAACAACCTTACGGAGGGCACCTGCATCCATTACGAGTTACAGGGACTTTTCGCTTTTAAGATTAACTCGTATGAGTGGGGTAGCAGGTGCAATGCATAAAATGCCACTATAAGACACGAGTAAAGGCGCCACCTCTTCAAGTGCGTATGGGTGATGCACGAGGTGGGTGCAAGTGGGGCTGGCATCTCACGACCAATCGCTATCAGGGCCTCCCCATCTACAACGCATGGCTTTCTTCCCCAACCTAACCCACGCATCTTTCCCGACAGCATCTACTCACCACTTTTACAATGCCTGCAGCTTCACTGCCCACTCCACTGAAACATGGTCCATTGAGACGTCCATTGCAGTTGGTGACTTGGACCTGCACATGGAAGTTGTGTTGTCGCCTGCCTCCCACCCAACTATCACATTACGCAGAATGCCTTGTGTGGCTCGTGCTGTTTATCACAAAAGCCATTTCAAGCATACGTAGGTGTCGAACATGGATTCAGGCCAGCGTGACAGCACGCCTCATTACAACACAATGGACCACGTACACCGCTTTCGATGTAATGCCTATCAAGAGTGGCCTACTACCAACAGCCAAACACACTATCGCATGCACAGAGTTTTGGCAAACAGTGACATTTTTAATAAGAAATAGAGACAAAGTGGAGAATGAGTACGTACCAGAGCAATGGGTGATGCAGATGAGAAAGACGACAACTGACAACTTGGCACACTTTCATGACTAGCATAGTGCCGTGTGTGCACTTATAGCCTCACCAACTTGACCTCATCACTGCCACTGGTTGGCTGCTTGATTAGGTGAAACTGCACTTACAACTGTGAATAGAAGACGCTCAACTTTGCGTTGACCTCCACCATGCTTCAGTCAGAAGTGCGTGGGTGTAGGCGTGGTGCTTAGAGTGAGTCCTTACAGGTTTAGCACGCACGCACTTGCAGTGAAGCTACGTGGAGGCGTCGACATCTTCCTTCTCACTCGTAACTTGGCGTTTTCGATACCAGCAGATGCAAGTGTTGCTACGATTGTGACTGAGGCTAATGCAGTGAAGTTACAGGGAAACATCTGCGTGTTCTTGCCTGGGAATTAGCACAATAACGATTAGATGTTCCTGGACCGCTCACAAAGCTTTAATCTGCCTCCACGTTGTTTGGGAGTGACATCTACAGGCTGCAGGAGAATTGCATTGAATGCTTACGCAATCACCCTCCAGTGAAGCATTTGTTCTACTCTATTATTATAAGCATAGACATGCCCAACATTTTATTTTGATAATCAGACCGACTAAGTTCTTCTGCATACCACTGGGGTCATTCCACCTCACGTGAGTACACTTGTGCGGATGAAGGCATTTGTGTTTCAGTGTGTACTGCTGCTATCCAACCACCACGTCATCTCGCCTCACACACATGCGACACTCGGACGTTTTCCAACAGATCGTGCATTATGCATCAGGTGGGTTAGGAAAGCTAATAAAGGTGGGGAAGTGGATTTTGGAATAGGGGGAAGATTACTGGGGCTAGTTTGGCGAGTTTGCAGCAAACACATTTGAGCCAGTCAGGCATGTTGAGGTTGTGTGATTCAGTGCAGAAGATTTGGCCTGTATCTCTCCCTCTCCATCCTGGCCATCGTGGCACTTTATAAAGCGTCGAAAATCGGAAGTTATTTCACGAGTCGCAGACTATAAGTTTATTTCACCTGGACTGAAGGAGAGCGAAATGTAAAGCACTCAAGATGTTTTACCCGACTCATTCAAGTTTAGCCTCTCGAGCAATCTCCACACGGACAGTAATGCACCCCAGTGTGCAAGGAACCCTTTTCGGTGTATACACAGACGTGTTTCTGGAAGAAATGGCAAACTTGAGATACTGACACTTCCTGAGATGGTGACAATGCTGAATGCTTCAATGTCCTGCAGTCAGCAAGACGCTGCAATTG